CGCGTCGAAGTTAAAACAAATGTATGAAATAAAAACTTACATTTTTTTTACTCAAAACGTTGTAGATTTATTTCAATCTCTTCTTTACAATTTATTCGCACAGTCCTAATAAAAAAAAATAGGAACGCGAACGTTTAGGCGTTTGATTTATGACGATAATTATTCTTTCAATAATAATATACAAATAGCTAATACGGTATACGTAATGCATATAACATAAATCATTAAATACACCATAAGAAAATACATAAACTTATATTCATTGAGTGGTTCTCAAAATGTCAGCGATCAATAGCGAAAATAAAATAAATATAATTTACTATTTGAAATACTTGACTGTGCGAGATCGAATCGATGAGATAAACACGTATGTCGCTGAAGAAAGGTTATATCACAGTTCGGAACACGATTACTGTTGACCTTTGCCCGTTAACTGATCCGTACGACAACTGAAAAAGGAAAGTGTTGCTATATACTTATACTTTTACGCGTTGAAAACCGAAAACAAAACCCGCGCTTGTAAAACGGTGATGATTTTTATAAACCAAGAAGCTTACCCACGGCGGCGCTTGTAACGTTTTGTATTGAAATTATTTCAATATTACAAAACCAGTCTGGTTCGTCCAACAACAAATTATTATGTTTCTTATTTAAAGACGTATCCTTGGGTCATATAATGATTATAATATACACATAACATATTACGCATAATGTGCTTTAAAGGCGCTTAAAATGGATCCGCATTCGTCTTGAGCGTTGCAATTGACATAATTTGCTAATAAGGCTTTTGCATTGTTATCAAATACTTTACATTTTATAAAAGGTGGGTTGGGGGGGGGGAATTACACTTTGACCGTAATCAATTTCTAGGCTGCTGTGTGAGAGTGAATTCAACATTCGACATTCAAGAGGTATCTGAAAAATAGTTTTATTATGTTGTTAATTACGGTATATAATATGGGAAACGATGGTAAGGAAATATTAAGACAGCCCTAATCGTGTCCACCCATATAGTAAAATGGGCGGCACCTTTTTTAGCCTAAACTGATGACAACCTATCACTTTTTTGACCACTCCAATTTAAACGCTAAACCAATAATAAAATATTTGAGAACCAATAATTAAAAAATATATATATTACTGCAATTAATGCAAATGTATAAATACACCTTGTTATTATAATTTTATGTGAATATTTTATACCCCAATTTAACCTTAGGTAATATAATATGGTACATTATATAACTTTTTTTAGATTATCTAAAATAGTTTCAGTTTTTACTGGTCAATGCTATTTCTGAAAAGCAAAAAAAGCATAACGTTTAAGAGGGCTTCATACCATTTAAAAGTAATCGTAAAAACGTGTTTATAGAAAAGCGTGTAGGTCAAATGGTCATAGCAAGAAAAATATTGATACCGTTAAAAAGAAAATAACTGACTAGTATAGGTTCTCTCGTCGGTTTTTTTTAAAAAAAACTTAAATTTCACCTTAGATACAAGCACTTAAAAAAGTAAACAATTTTAGAATATAAATTGTGAATGTTAGGTTAATATCGGTTATTTATCTGTAATTGTAAAAAAAATATGTTATCGTTAATAACAGATACTTAATTAAACTTATGTAACGCCACACTATGGAAAAAGAGCGTCTAAATTCGGAAGTGTTTATTAAAACATTAATACACTGTACAATGTAGTTGTAGCTCGTTAGAATACTGTCGAAGCCCATCATATCCACAAGAGAAACTCTGTTACTAACAATCGTTTTACAAAACGGTTTTGTATTATTAAAATATAATAAAACATTTCCGGGATATCTTTCATTAAGCACAAACAAAAAATAAATCGTTTGAAACTCATTTTGAAACCAAACAATCATTTTTATACTTAACGAGTTGTTATAATAATTGTACTTGTCAATGCGTTGACTTTTGATCTGGTTTTTGTGTTTTTCTCAATGCAATTTGTTCTTTAACTATTCATCGTGTAAATGAATGGGTTATTCGAAAAATGGAATACATTGAGAAATTCAAATTTTACAGGAAAGACAAAAAATTAACATTATTAACATATAATAACATCACGCGTGTTAAAAAATGGCATGCATGCTGTTATTATATGAATAATTGGACATGTTTCGTTTTACCATCAAACGATAAATTTAGATTAAAACAAGAAACTTCTGTAAAAATCTGAAAATGTCGAAAAATTGGACACGTCCCTTTTCCAAATAACCCACTCAAATAATAAATCAATTTCAAAATGCGACTAACAAAAGTAAAAAATTAAAAAAGAAGCGGCTACTACCATAAAGTATCCAAGTCATTGATTACATACCATTATTTTTTATTTATGTACTATAAAGTTACCTTGTTATACATATTAAATAGATTGAAAATGAAAAAAAAATGTAGGTATAACTCTATAAATAACTCTATAAATAACATAAATTCTAACATCATATACTCCACTTGTTTAATTAAAATCGTCGGTTACTACATTTTCTGTACAGACAATGCGAATTGTAGGAGTTTTGTAATTTATACATACGTTGTTGTTTATCTATAAGATGCTGCACCCATCTGAAGTAACATCGAGTAGTAAGTTGTTATTAATCGTGCATTTATTTGTTTTTGGTCAATTTCAATTACAGTATTGTAATGGAAACCGCAGTAATTATTTCAGTATTCAATATCTATGTTCACACCTACGCATCTGTAGTGTATAGACAGCAATCAGGTATATTGATTTAACATCACTCAAACTACCATGTATGTTATGTTCCTACATACTTTTGTAACTGTAATTACGTAATGCAGTTTTGCTTTTAAAAATGGGTTCTATTATAAAAACAATTGTAATATTTCATAAGCATATCCTAATCAAATGTAACAAGTGAAAATTATTTCAAAAATTCTTGGCCCTTGGTAAAACCAAGGGCCAAGATTAGCACTACTTAAAAAGTAGTGCTAATCGGGAGTTCCAACGAAAATTGGGTACTATGATATAATTTTATACAATGATTACTTTATTTATTAGCTTAAACTTTTAAGTTATAAGCATAAAATCGTGTAAATTTACTTAACGCAGTTTCCATATAATACGGAGTTCTGCATTTAAAAACTGAGTAATTTCGACTTTCAGCTTATATATAAAGCATAACTGCATTAGTCATTAGAAATAATCTGTTTGTGATAATCCTGATTTTTCGTATCTCGCATAAATAGTAATAACAACTGTACTTATTTAAACGTTTTTAAGACAATATCTATCTTATATTTGCATGATGATAAATAAAGATAAAAACTTGTTTTAACCATACATTTGTTTAAATAAGAATACCTTAGGATTTATTTACTGTGTAATTTAAACTCGAAAAATTAAAATTAACATGAAATTAATTATTTACATAATGTTTTTTGCCGTTTTAACAACTTCACTTAAAATATATGTACGTAGACTACTATACTCGCTTCTTATTTTGAACAGAATATAGTTCATCAACAATTAGATTCGTATACTTAAAAATCTATTTTGTGTAACATTTGTTCCTATATTCATCAATACATATAATTTTAATTTCCAACGATTGTATTAAAAGGAACGGGCGTTGCCGTAATACTTGCCGATATTTTTAATTTGTTTAACTTCAATATTAAACAATTAAACTATAGTGATCCAAAAATGTTAGTCATTGCTCATAACATTATATATGAAGAGAAGAAACCTTAACTTCTTATTAGGTACAACAAGGATTTATACTTAAACCAAAGTATTTATAAAATGTAGACTTTTTGAACTTAATATTAATGTGATTTTCTGTGTGTAACCGGCATAAACTAAGATACTTTCCAGTAATCGCAAACTGTCGAATCTGAGATAGATTTCGTGGCATGTTCCATTAGTATTCTCTTGGAAAATTAATTATTTCATTCTAACAAAAATAAAGGTATATGACCAACACAGTTTTAAATTATACATAAGAATTTTTTTTTTGAGATTGAAACATCATAAATTGCCAACAAACATCGTTGTGTGTGGGAAACGGATTCAGGGATGTCGTTGAAATATATTGAGAGTCTATTCACTAAGAGTATAATAACTTGTTCAGAAATTTTAGAGAAAACTTACAGAATCGTTTCAATGTTAGCACGCTGTATGTAGGTAGTCAACATTGTAATTTGGTCGTAAGCGGCAACAACAAAGTACCCAAACAAATTCAAGACGCTCATATTTTAGAACTCAGAAGTATTAAGTGAGTGATTCCGGTTACAAATGTAAAAAATAATATTTTGTCACTTTCTTATCTTATTATAATATTATTTTTTCAAGTATTATTATATAAGACTTTATTCTTATTCAATGTCATTCGTGACACGTCTTGCACCAAACCACAGCTGATATAATACAATATTTATAATGCAAAAGCTTAGGTCACGGGTAAAGACATTTATTAAGTCTACACATACGAGTATATTTGTTCATACTGGATATAATGTATCGTATTGTGGTATGCGTATCAAAAGTAATGGTAAGATGAGTATTTGTTTTTTTTTTTAAATTTCCGTCACAATAAGCTGTCAAACAAGCTTAATATTAAAAACGATCCGTTCTAAGCTTGGACACACGGATCTCACGGATGTAATCGATGGTTTTTCAGTGATTAGAGCAGCGATTGTACACGAAAATACACTCGGACAAGCTAGCTAATAACGTATGCATAACAATAATACTATCATCCGTCAGTTAGGTAACGATGAGCAAGACAAAAATATGCGTACAATATAATAATAATAATGTTGTAATAATATTAATAACGTTGTTGGACGTGTATAGTGCAGTATAATATGCACATTAGACGATATTATTATGCTGATGGTGACGGTCGGCGGTTTTGGAGGTAAGGCCAGATGGAAATCAAGTTGTTATGGTGGGAACGGACGACGGCCAAGAAGAAGAAGAAGAAAAAGAGAAGAAGGAACCCTTGTGTGCTCATCACTTTTACCCGCGGTCCGACGGTCTTCAGTACGTGCGCGCTGCCGGGTGAGTTTACAAATGCAAAACCGCTGACCAAAACAAGGATTTATACTTATAAGTATTATCAGGTATGATTAATAAACTTTTTTATCGGATACTTAAAAATTAGATATAATATTCCGTTTGTTTTTTTTAAATTTGTATTTCACTTGCATTTCCTATAGCACCGCTACAAGCTCAGAGTGTGTCGATAGCGCTGCGAGTTTCTATTTCAAACAATAATTTTGAACACTACCGGTCCACATTATTATTAGTTTGTTTCCAAGTTTGATAATCTGAAAATCCATAATAGACAGTCCAGTAGAGACGAGCTGGTTCGCTGTGTTAAAATCGCTATGGTTTTCCCTGACTGACAGCATTGAATATGGTTACCCAATAAGTTGCACAATTATCATTAATCTTATTTTAAAGCGCGATGGGATTACGGGTGCATTGGATGTGCAAAAAAATAATAAAAAGAAGGGTACCTAAACGTGTCTTGTCCGAATAACATTACCCAATAAAATATATATTGTAATATTATGTGTTATGTCATCGGTACATACGTTATGCTGAGTTGATTACCGGTCAAACGGGACCCAAAAAATGCTGCATATATTATCATATTGTACTGGGATGATGTGATGACGAACCGCAAAGAAACGGTCGATGTCATCCGATGCCAAAAGCAAAAAAAAATTCTTGTTTTTTACGCATTGGAATAATATTTTTATAATAACGATATTATGGTGTGCCATAAATCTGAAACGTTCACCTTTTATCTGCTCGTGTGTATTGGCCACCGGTTTATTTTTTTTTTAAATATTTTTTACTATGCCGTTCGCGGAAGAGCCGACACTCGTCCTGATGAATTTATTCAGCGTCCAAGACCGATTGTGCATATCATTATTAAGTCACTTAGAAATTAGAATCTTAACGTGTGACCGTTTTTCTTATGTGTGTGTGTGAAATAAAATTAATAATTTCGTTTAATGGGAGTATGCGCGTGCACAAGAAAGTCGTAGAACAAACAACAATTACTTTGTTATGAAGATTTAGTTCCCATAAAATGGTACACGCCTCGATCGACCTATTAATCCGAGTTAAAAGAAGGAAACAACATAATAATAATAATAATAATAATAATATAAAATAAAAGAATTTAAAATTGCTGATATAATTGCTAGTAAAATTTGAAACGAAAAAACTAATCTAACGACCGATGACAATAACGAATTAAAAGATTTTCTCTGAATGGAGTTATAACATAAACGATTATAATATAATTATGTGAAAGAGCCTAAATGCCACCAACGTAACTGTTTCCTGACCAATACATAATTTTTGATGACACTGTTTATAATGATTAAAACGGCTCTTATGCAATATTCTTTAAAACATTTTGTAATTATGTACAATTTTTTTAAAATATTTTTTATGACCCGAAACTCCGGTTTTCGTTTTTTAACCGTCTCTTCATCTCGCGAAGAGTATATTATATATTATACATGTCAATAGCTAAAAACAATAACAACCTAATATTGTTATCAAAGCGTTGACTTGGTGTTTACACATAACTATCAATCACAATCGGCTACACAACAAAACCTTGCGCAACGGAATCTTTTAGTATTTTTTTTAATAATGAATTACAATATTACTTAGTCAATTTCATAAAACTAGTTATTACTCATTCACTTTAATTCCTTTACCGGTTCTGAATCACCCACTAACAGCTTATAAAATGTAATACATGGTTCTTTGTGTTACTTGGTTTTAACCCGAATCTATTAGGCTGTAAAATGTACAAAACATAAAACACCTTAGCTGACGTTCATATACAATTTTAGCTTGTTTTTATACACTTCTTAAGGGGCCTCTACACTAGTATTTATTAAGGCGCATTGTATAGGCAACTTTTCTCTAAATTTAACATAAAGTTAAAATTTTTAAACGTTTGTCTTACTATAGAAAAGAAGGATCTATTTAGATATTTATTTTTTTTCAACTTTTATCGTTAAAAATAAAAAAACAAAAGCCACTAAGTAAGTACATCCTATTTTTTAAGAAGTTCGGTATAGACATTTTCTGGTGTTAACATAAATCTTTAAGAACGCAAAAGCTTAAGCAAAATTGCTATCAGCACAGTAGCTAACAAAATTGTATATTTTAACGTGCATCGCAGTCTTTACTCAAAAGCAACTTGCATACAAGTACTGTTTTACAAGTAGAAATTTCGAAAACAGTTGGATAAAAAATAGTACTTAACTTTAAAAAAAAAAGAGCGTGGCTTTAAATTGGTTACATAATTTGTTTTGTTAACATGAACAAATTGCACTAAAATTTTAGTTTCGTTTCTTCACTTTTTAAGGAATCATCAAAAATATATTGTTTTACTAAAATCATGTAGACTCTACACTCTGTGTAGAGTGTAGACCGATGGCTCATAATGCCAACCTGTGTTTTTACATGATAAATTGGCATCATCTTATGTATTCTATATGCAAGAAGTGCATACCTAATAGGGGATAAACAGTTTGTTTGCACACAAAAAATGACGGCCGCCGGGTCGTGGGTTCTGGCTTCTTTGGAAATAAATCTCAAGCGCTGTAGTGCAATAAAAAAAATATTAAACATAATAACATAATATTATTATAATATACATTGGGCTTTCGGGTTTGTAGCCAATATAAATCTTCACGATCGCCTTCGTCTCGTGCCTCAGCGAAATTGCTCAACCCGACGACACAACCAAAAAAAAAAAAATGGTTTTATATATTATATATACAGTCTGTGTTGCTTGTATAGAGATGTACGTGAGAGCTCTTCGTTGCGACACCGGGTAGACTACTATAGTAATAATAACAATGTTATATTATACCCTAGGTTTTATTGTACCTGCTTCACTGCCAGCGATAATAAGAAGCCCGGGGCTTTATTAAAAGAAACGTATAAACTAATAAGCAACGGTGATTACATTAAGCACACGAGTATATAATGTATATTGACACTATGTATATAACTGTGGCGAGTTTATAATTTACCACATGAACAACCACTGAACGCAAACCTCACCGAGTGGTTTGTTATAACTTATATGTATTTGTTTACTCAATGCACACATCTGTAACATAATTTTAGGCGTTCTGGAACATTTGCTTTATTTTCAATAATTCGCATAGGTGTGCTAAAAAGGTGGAGAAATTAAAAAACACGAGGCTAGTAGAATTAAATGTATTCGTATGAGGTTGAGACCTGTTGTGTGTCAGAAAGGTGTCGTTAAAGATAGTAGTGCCTTTTTTTCATAAAATTCAATTATGTTATCAGGCCAGCATCAACTGACTTTGAGTTCTGAATACGGAGTATGAGGAATGCAAAGAACATGATAGTAGGTGAAATAAGAGTATTAAGACGAATAGGTAATTTGAAACTAGCTTAGACATTTTAATTTGGCTAACTTAAATCCATGTATCCATGCTTGGTTTTTGGTAGTATCAACTAGGAAACGATTGGATTACACAAAAAGGCTTTTCCTTTTGGTCGTTTTCCTGATAAACGAGGAAGTTTAAGTGTATTTTACTATAGCTTAACGTGTAAATTAAATTGTATTAGTTACTTTAAAAAAAATGTAGTAAATCATGAAAATATATTCTTTAATAATTACCATAGGTATCCTATGTATGAGGGAAGAAAGTGGACATAATTGGGCCGGTCATTTTTGTTTTGCACTATTGTAACGAAAACTAGAATGATACCATTGGTGCATACTGAGGTACTTATCTGGTGTCTGGTAACTGGTATCTAAATTTGCAAAAATGATTGTATAGTAGTAATAATAAAAACAAAAAGTAACGTGTGTCAGAAAGTCACTAATTACGGTCTAATGGTATGACTCGACAAGTTTTTCGCGACGAGCCTCACCGGCCGGGTTACATCAATGTATATCAACACATACAAAAAAAAAAAAAACACGAAGCGTTTACTTTCTTCCGGTAAGACCCCGGACGGCAGTCATTAAGAATAATAGCCGAGCAGACTACACGAAGGCGACGGTGACAGCGACGAAGAAGAAGAGAAAGCATACGCCCATATGTGCCGGGCCGTGTACAACACGGGTTTTGTACAAGAGGGTCACGACGCGGTTGCAGGAGGTCACGGCCCGCACGCCGCGGTGGCTGTGTATATCATATTAACGTGTGTAGTATTTTTTAACCTGTTGGTATTTGCGGAGGTGTAGACAACCGCACACATTAATGTTTTATGGACTTTTATCAGAACATCGGCGCAAAGTGTCGGGACGCGGCTACCAAAGTTCTGTAATCCGTCGAAATCGAAAGTCGATAGGGGTCACAATAGGTGGCGTCCGCTGGAAAGATCAATAAAGAAAATGAAAAACGCATTTGACTGGCCGGCCAAAATAGTTGCATAATATATTTATATATGAGTCGTTAATTCCGCGTATGAGACAGGAAAGCTTGTTCAGAGTTCATAACATTCCGTCGTACAGAGAACACCTATATATTGAGTTTTATAATGTAATATTCTTCTCGTAAAACCACTATAAACCGCACAGTGTCGCGCCTTTCTGCTCTAAAAAGTTCACTTATGTTTTTCATATCACAGTTTCCACCTACCCAATATTACTCGAGATTACAACTATTCAAATATTTCACTAACTTTCGATGGCTGATGATCTAGATTATTGTTGATATTTCAACGTAGGTGTTTATAGAAAGAATGATGATCGTTTTTACAAATTTACACCTAATACCTATTTTACACCTACATAGAATTTCATGACTTGCAAACTTTGTTGCATTTACTAACGTTTGGTTGAACAACTGACAATCAAACAATAATTTATACAATTGACCCTCACCTAACGTTATAATAAGTTTACTGATACTGAGTTAAATTAAAAATGTACAGTAAAAAATACTATTCACTATTGTCAACTATGAAATTTTTTTCTCAATATTGTATAATACTCAAGTATAATGCCAGTATTGTTGTAGAAAAATAGAAATAATCTAATTTATTATTAGTGATTCGATAACCGTATATTAGCTACCAGCTTACAAGCTTACAC